TTGCCACTATTAGAAACTGAAGCAGTGAGTGCTACAGGATGTTCTACAGCTTTTGGGACCCTCCATCTGTGACCGGTAATTTTTGTTCTTGGCTACAATCCAGTGACACAGGTCAGCAAAATCCACAGTCCCCAAGTGCTCATAATCCAGAGGAACAAGAGAGATTCAGGAAGGGGAAACTGAGTCACAGAGGAAAGTCACAGCTTTTTCATGGGGAAAAGAGTGTTTCTAACAGTAGCAGAAAAGGAAACACTTAGCATCATCAAAATATTTACCAGTCACCCTTCTTTCCCACATCCAGCGTATTGAAAATAAGGCTTGTCCCTATTTTCTTCTTCATGAAAACTTGTTAAAATATTAAGAAGTACAAAAGGAAAAAGACTCCCAGATATCACACTATGAGGCTAATTGACTGGTTTGAACTGATCATTTTTCCACATCCCTCTCATCTTAAGAAGTCACAGCAGTAATATCAAAAGCAGCAGCTGAAAAAGCCTGATCAATGAGCCCTTTAAAGAAAATTCAGATAGATACAGCAGAGGCAGTCATAATGAACCAAGGCCCTACAAGTCCCCAACCCAATACCTGCTGAAACATCCAGGAATCTAGTTCTTGATGTGTAGAAGAAACAAAGGTATTTTTATTATTTGTTGTTCAGCTTGCTTCCTACCTGCCCCCCAGCACTGTTGAAATCCTTTGTCTCGAGTCATACATGATCCTGACTCCCCGAAAAAAATCCAGCCAGAAGGCTGCCTTTCATAGAGGTGAGAATCTCAGTGTCAGAATCAGTTCATCCTGACATACTGCTGCTGGTCAGGCCCACTCTGGGAAACACAGTTCTGGCCATGTTTTTCCCCCTATTTTTCTACTTGGAGCAATTGCTTTCATGAAAGCCTATTTCACTTCTACACAATCTTCTTCACATCCTCCCTCCTCCATTGTCTTCTCACTCCTTGCATCACAACCCAATTTAGAAACTGGTCAATTCTGAGGAGTTCAGATACAAACATGGTTTACCAGGACAATTCACTGAAGACTGGTCCTGGCACTCATCTTCCCAGAGAACCCTGGTCCCCACCATAGCTATGAGCACCTGCAGGAGGCACAGGGTGTCCTCACACGTCAGTCTTGCTGTACCCATGCTGCAAATCCAGTGCTTCCCAACGTGCCAGATACACTGTGTGCAACCACACAGCCTCAAAATGGTTCAACTGGCTGCAGAGCACGGCTGGGAAAGGCTGTTCCATACAGACCTTCTTTAATTGAAGGGGTCTTTGTACCCCTTAGAGATTAGATAAAAAGGACTTAAACTACTTGGAAGATCACTGAAAGAGACATGGGAGAAAAGGGGCATTATATTTCTTTTACTTCCATCCATTCCCAGAGATGACAGTAATTCATTTGCACAAGCTAAAAAAAAAATAGAATCCAAAGATTTATCTTAAAAATTCTTCCCCCTCAATTACTCTGTAATTGTTCTTGTAAACAGAAACAAAATCATGATGGAAGCAAGCAAATTCCAAGTTAATAAACGTGGACAATCCCTCACTTACGAATTCTTATGAAACACAGGAGTTGGGCTGGGAGGGTATCCATGTTCTGGCATCACAGGACAGAGAATTGGAACAAAGAATGCAACTGCAGAAATGGAGATATCTAAATCTTAAGAGACCCTATAAAATATGAAGTTCACAAGGAGCTGTTAACCATAGAAAGCCTTCTTTTTATTAAGATGATTTAGAGATTTAGAATAAGAGACAAAGAAAGGACACTTCTGGATAGAAAATGAATAAGCATTAGCTACCAATAGCCAAAAATAACTGTCAAATACCCAAACCAACCATAGAATACACTGCACACAACTGGTTTCTACAAAGATCTATGAAATACTTCATTGTGGCAACTGAACTTCAACAGTATGGTCTCCCAAGATTTTATTATTGCTATTACTAACCTCAGCTAAAGCTTTCAAGGCCTCCTGTTTTGCTAGAAAACACAGACGGTAGTAAAAGTGACTAAAAACCCAATAAGCTTTGCATTTTCTCTAAACCACTGCAGAGACCTCCTACATCAGAGTGACACCCTTCAATTACCCCAAGCACAACTTCTCTGTTGAAGTTATGTAACAGCTAGAATAAGAAATTGTTTTCTTGTATTATAATATTTTTACTTCTAGAGTTAATAGCAAGTAACTCAAAATGCAACAGTACGCCAAGATTTTAGAATAAACTATTAGATGATTATCTACATCCTTTCATCCTTCTGCATCCTTCTACATTCTTCTGATAGGTATCTTCAAAGAGCACAAGACACAAACTAATGCAGAGTTCACTGAATAGGCAACACAGCATTTTCTGCATTACTGCTGACATCTTGCTTTTTACAGCTTTATGTAGGGTTTTTGTATTAAAAATAAGCTGTTCAAACAAAGTATTTTCTCTTTCAAAGCAGATAAACTTTAATCACGATTTTGTTTTCTAAATCACAGCTATCAACACTGCTTGTCCCAACTCTTTGGCAAAGTTACACAACTGCAGGAAACGCAGTGCATGCAAAAGCAGCTGGCCTTGAAACACACAGAAGCAATCTCCACTATTCAAAGACTATTTTGTGCTCCCTTACTTGTAATGGGGGCTTAAAGATGTTTAGCCCTTAACAACACATACTAAAGACAAAAGCTCAGAGCCTCAAAGGGGTTTGCACACAACTTTAATCTCCCAGGCCCCCACTTGCCATCGTGTGTCTGGGCTGGCACTAAGCAGAAGCCCACGGAGGCTACGCATTAATTGCTGTGAAAACGAAGAGAGCAGGTCACAAGTTCAAAAGACGAAGGAAGGCTGTTAAAGCATGGAACCTCTTGGCACTGGGTGCTGGAGAAGATAAAAGCTTGTGCATTGAAGTTCTCTAAGCTCTACTCTCTGACCAGCTTGAGACAGACAAAAAAAAAACCAAGAGCCAAGTAAGAACTTTTGGCCTTACACTTCAGTGAAGGTAAAGAACTTTGCCCTCAACACTCCTCTTAATTCAGGAAAGCCCTGCAACCAGAGTTGGCTTTCTTCTGACCCCCCCTAGCAGCTGTTCAGAATCCTTACATCTCTTGTAACTATAGATACATCATGCACTTCCCTCCTTAACAGAACAAAGAAACAGCACACAAACAAAGCTAAAACACTTGCATGTATAGGCACATTTTGCCATCAACACCAGTGAGACAGCTACATACAAAAGACATAGCTACTCACATTTACATCTTTCTTATCAGTCAAAAGAGCCCTTCAGTTTTGCAAACATACAAGAAAATGAGTTCTCCCAGCTTCCTCAGCCCGGCTTTTGGCTGATCTGCCCTCATTCTTGCTGAGAAAGGATATTTCACTCTCCTTTTCTGCTTCCCTTCCTTCAAAACATTATGGAACTCCTTGCTAGGTAACTCTTCCTAGCTGTCAAATTCCCAGTTGGATGATCTGGCAATCAGTGACAACATAATGCGTTTTCCCCATTATAAGGAGGCTCTGCTCTATTAGCTGTGTCCTCATAATCAGATCCATCATAAAAGTACACACAATTTACTTATTAGAAATTTTATCAGGAGCATACCTAAACCACCAAAAAATCCCAAACCCATTATGGACATACTTCATTCAAAACATCAGTTTTCAGTGATATTAACTTAAATTAATTTAGACATCGGGATAATGTTTAAATAGATTAATACCACTTCTCCCCAAACCTACAGATTCCCTTTTTCCAGTATCAAGTCATTACAGTAAATGGATAGACTTCCTGTTTGTTATTTAAAGTGACTGGTAAAACACAGATGATAATGCAGCTGCTTCAACACTGATCCATCCTTTGACCCAAGCTTGTTAGAGTAGAAAGCTGAGAATTCTGGGATGATGAACTTTAAACCTACACTTTCCAGGATGTCAATATTGCAGCTACATTTTCTCATTATTTTTCTATATTATCCCAGAAAAGACATCTTCTGTTGCTTCATGGAAAAAACATTTACGAACTGACCAGAGAGCACTAAAAAAAATCACTTATTTTCCAAATACACTGTGGATAGAAAATATGCGTATGTTTTTGTCAAACTTCCTTTTCACACAGAGTGAGCAGACAAAGGAGAAGATTAAATATATGTCAATACAATGTAATCATACTGCTGTAGTCTTTTAAGCCTATCCTACTAATATATCTATTTTGATCTGTAAATATTTTTTTAGATTTATTTATTTTAACTGTAGATACTGGAGGTCCTTATATAAGGAAGAGAAAGAGTATGGATGCTAAATCTGAACCAGAGCGCCTGTAGCTTTTACAGGCTACACAGAGCTCGATCCTGCCTGAGAGCTAGCCTGAGAAATTCATAGGAGGATTTCAAAACAATCCTCAGAGACAGAAAACAACTGCCAGGTGCTGTTTGTCTGTCCTCTTGCTTTCCTTGCAGGAGAAAGTCAGGAGGTGGTGAGCCCCACTGACCAATGATGGTGATGTAGCAGTTAACTAACCAATAAGAGTTTTCTTTTCTGTATTTTCCACAAACTAATCTATAAAACAAAGCTAAAGCAATAAACTAAGGAATTCTCCTGTTCTGACTCCCTTGAGAGTCTGTGTCATTCTTTTCGCCGTTCCTAATTAGAGCAACAAAAGAGAACCTTTAGCTAAAACGTTTTGCTCTTGCAAATGAATCCAAACCTACAAAGTAACACAATGTGTGCATGGAACAGCAGAGAAAGAAAATTTACAAGAAATGCTTGCTTTCAAAATGTTTCAATACCATGAGTCTACTAACCATAAAGCACATTCTTCTTTACCCACATTCACTGTTTTTTTTTAACTTGTATGCAATCAAGTCACATGCATGGACTTTATGTGCACAAACCAAACGTGGCATCACTTGTTTCAGTAGTATATTCCCCCAATGCCAACATCCCTCCAAGGAACTGCACCAGTAACACAAACTACCACAAAACATAAAAATCAACTGAAGTTATACTCACTGTTATTTGGGAAGCATCCATGAATTGCAGGCCAAAGTAATCCGTTTCTACAAGGTCCAAATGATACACAATCTGGTCAAACAACTCCTGTCCCTTTGCATTTTTCTGTAAAAGAAAAAGAAAATGTGTTTTTTTAAACTGGTCAGTGTGGGTTTGTTTCTTTTCAAGTTCAAATTTATGAGAAGAGATACACAAAGGAAAATAATATCAAAGTAGTAATTCTATTTATTCTGGAGAACTGCATTGACATTTCTTTTTATTTTCTTCACGAAACAGAGTGGCATGCTGTTCTTGTATGCAGCTATTCCAACAGCGTCAGATTTCACTCTCAAAGAAAACTTTCAAAGTTTATCATAACTGAAAATACGCAAGAAAAAGGGAAGGCTTATGCCCTACAAGTGTCCTAAGTCACAGAGCCATCATTTTGTACCCCAGGAAGTCAGATTCTCCCAGAAAATCTTGCTTAACACACTGCCTGAAATCTGCTGGCTATCAACAGCAACTGCAGTCACGCAGTGTCACACCACCACTGAAGCTGCAAAACAAATTCTGGACAGCCTGAATACTCGAAAAGCACTGTGAAGAAAATTAATGGGATTTGATAAGAATAATTTATATTGCCAATTCCCATCATATTTACAGCCTTTAAATGAAGAAACAAACAAGGGCCAAAAAAGCTGTAAATCTTACTTAGCATGCTCGCTGGAACATGCAGGCATGGTAATGACAACTAAAACCCAAGCTATGGATTACAGGTAAGGGTGGAAAACTTAGCAATTCTTAAAGGTAGGCTGCATTGGCCTGGGTACTTATTTTGAGGTTAAGGCAAGAATTTAGATACTCAATCTTCAACACTAGAAAACCAAAGTTTGAAGATTACAGGTGGGTAAAAGAAAAAGGCAGTAACAAACCAACTTTTCATGCAAACCCTGTTTAGTTACTTGGGGAAGAAAGTTTTCAAGTTCTTGAGCAAAATCACCCCTTGGCCAAAAATACATGAGATGATCATAAATGTGAGTCAGAGACTGAAGCTGTACTTTATACAGTGAAGTACTGATCAGGATCCACTTTTGTGACTGCTGTCCCTCTTACAACTTTAAGGATTTTTTAAAATTTTTTATTTTTTGAAAATAACATAATAGGCATTTCCACTTTACCCCAAAATGTAGCAAAATTCACAGAGTTAAGCATTCAGTCCCTTTAGTTCAGGCTTCTGCACAAAGGCAGCATCAATCATAACTTGCAGAACTCCTAAAAGCAGTTTTCTTCAGCAATAGACAAGATGATGAGTTACACCTCTATTTTACCAAGAAGGTCAAGCAAGCTCAAGTATAGGTAGCAAATTTTATTTAAGTTGTATTTTTTGAGGTTTTTTAAACTAACAAAACAGAAGAATAGAAATTGAATCATATCAAATTTCAAGAGAAGAATTAGGAACTCCATTAAAACAAGCTGCATAAAAGCTTAATACCAACATTAATTTGTCATTGTAAGATACTGTTTCATTATTTTGAAGGGGGAAGAGGTGGATAATAGACATTCTTAACCAAAGTTCAACATTCTGTTAAAGGCAGATGAGAATACAATGGGTTCTTGAAACAGCACATTGCTAAGAAATCATCATCTTTACTTATACAGTAATTGTTATAAACTGAACAAAAATTATCCAGAACATATTTTCTCATATGGAGTAAAATCAGCACTCGTTAAAAGAAGCCAGACCAAAGCACAACAAAATTTAAACAGATTTTGCTTAAGTGAGGGAGGAGAAAACCCTCAAAAGCAATAAAAAGAGAAAAAGCAGAACATGAAAAATTCAAAACACAGGAAGAATGCACTTGATGTCCTACTCTGCTCATGGTTGCTTGCTTTATGGCACTAACTACCAGTTTATGTTTATCTTCCACTGCCACACATGGAATAGAAACCAGAGAGAGCACGCTCCACCTTCTGTACCCAAGTAGTAGTTAATGTTTAACATGTGTTACACGCAGAACGGATCTGTGCTGCACAGCTAGACCATAAAATGTAATATTACATACATAGCTCAGGAGATGGTAACATTTAACTTGTCACTAAATGAGCTTTCCCAGTAACTTGTACCACTTAAATGATAAAGCTGCAGCAGCCAACAAATTGCTGACAAAAAACTTTCTTTGAGATGTTGTGCTACAGGAGGAGAAAAAATTGATTAATTCCTTTCCTCTACTAACAGTAAAGGATGACCTGTTCTTCTTTCTTCTGCCTCGTCACTGACTGACAATCCAGCAGGTCAGACTGTGGATCGATAAATTAACGTGTGCTGAATGAAATGGGTGGAATAGGCAAAACAGAAAGCTTTTTCCTTTGGCATTAGATATACGTGGTAATGGTCTCTAAAGCAAAAAATGTCTGTATTACAATAAACTTTTGATTTTCACCATCTTTTTCTTCTCCCCTCCTTCTAGACAAAACAGTAGCTAAAAAACATGTTTCCTCTTTCAAAATCTGATACCACATAAAGACTAGAAAATGATTTTGTACAGTAAAATTTTAATAGTATATCTAATAATCTGGAATTTAATAAATCACACTCACTCTACAGACCTTTGACTTGTGCTTATTTCCTGAAGATACACCTAAAAACCCCCAACCATAAACTAAAAATATTTTACAGTCATACCTTGCAATGGTTCAGAAGTATCAGATGTAAATGGCCAGCATAACTTATATCTCACAAAATGAAGTACACAGCACCAACTACTATGCAGAGTTCCTATTTTGTGAGTATGGAAGTTACAATAATTTGGAACAGCGATATAAGAAAAGTTGCAAAACCTTTTGTTGGCTTGTTTTTTTATTGTTTTTTTTTTTTGTCTTGCTTTCTGTTTTGATAGTGTTTTCTTTTTGGTTTGTGAGTTTGTGTTTGTTTTGTTTTGAAACATCAAATAAAGCACTGCCAGTTTCTGATGAAGCGTTCCTTGGAACTCAGGAGAACTTGTGTGGGCACCATGAAACCTCACAGGCAAGCACTGGGAGGGTGGGCATGAAATGTTCAGCTTACAAACAAAACTACAGCTTCAACCTAAGGCAAAACTGAATTAGTATGAGGCAGGCACTTAATGAAACACAAAGACTGAATAACACTTGCAGACTGGGAACCTCCCTGATAATGTGCAATCACTGAGAAAAAGGAAAAAAAGTTTCTCATGTCAGTCATCGCTGTTCCACCTAACAGTTATGTGACTTTTGTCCACTCTGATTCATTAAAGCCATAATCAAATAGACCCCTGTATCATCTCCCTTGGGATCATGAATCACACTCAGAGAGAATTCTTATGTCAAATGAGGACTCACTGCAAATCCTACCAGAACTCCAACTGGGATGGGTATAAAGCACCTTGCACAGCCACAGTGACAGCTGCATGGCCCACATTTCAATCAGGCTACATTTCTGGCTGCCAGAGAGTTCCCAGTTTCAGGGAATCTATGGAAATTCTTGCCAGCTAAAACACGACAAAACAAAGATTAACTTCTCTAATTAGAAACTCTTACAGACTTGACAGGGAAATAGGCAAGAAGTTTTAATGTGCTTCTGGTAGACATGAAGGAAAGAGAAAATTGCTCAGCCAAGGACACTTCACACCAACTGGCCCTGTCTAAACAAGCTGATTAGTGTTGATTTTAGCTATTCCAGAGCTATTTTCAAAGGTTTTTGCCAAAGGGCATGAAAAGTGGATGTACAAGCCAGAGAAGTCCCATTTTAGTGCAGACACAGTGCAAGGATGCCATTGATCACTCCTAGAGTACATACAAGCAAAGCTGGGGAGCTCCTGCCCACACATTCCCCAAACCCATGTGCAGTTACTTGAACCCAAGTGGAGAGGCTGAAATTCTTGAGTCATATTAGAGAGCTCAGACTACAGGGCTACAAATAAACTATTAACAGACTGTAGAAACAGTTGAAGCACTGCTTGGGAAAACAACCTGTCAAAAAGGCCAAGAGGTGCATGAAATAGCCTGCCAGCTGACAAAATGACAACCAAAATTAAGGAAAATAAGCTACTGCTGAGAGAAAAGTCAAAGGCAGTTAACTTTCCAATCAAAGCCAATGTGTCCCAAACTGAATAGCGAGTAGCAACAGCAACGGGTAGGTAGTGCACACTTTCTGTCTTGAAAGAAAGCACAATATTATGCATTTTGCGATATGCTAAATATTTTTGCAGAGTGCTTGAGACTCTCATGGTCACTGATTTCAGGTCTGAGCTTCTAGTAAATTCTTAAAAGCACCTTTGTAGCTAGCAAGTCTCACCTCCACAGGTCTGATACTGCCCTGCTCTGATGGCACCAGCATTTCCTCTCCTTGGCATCTCCTAGAAAACAGAGTAGCTCAGTATGTCCTCTTACACCTGAACTGTTTTTAACTCAATTTTCAAACCTAAAGCTCATTTTCAAACCTAAGGCTTTATCTGCTGGCCATACTGCTTAGCAGTGAGAATTCACTTTGCCTTTTAACAGTCACTGGCAGTGCTGTCTCCAAGTGTTTCAGACAGGCTAAACATGCATCAAAGCCATCTGTGCTTCTAATTAGCCTGGACTCCTGGTGCTCAGTTATCATCTGTCCTTTAACTTGCTTTCTTCTGGATAGTCAAGCCCTCAGTTGCTCAAACACACTCAGCTGTACTGAAAGTAAACAGTAGTTCCATAATTTTAAGCACAAAAATGAAACTCTTCTACATTCTTATAAATCAAGGGTATCTAACAGCTTTAGCCAAGTACACATTGGAGGCCTTGGCTGGGCTTGCAAAAGCTGCACTGAAAACCCTGTTTATCCATCCCAGCACTGCTGCTAGAGGCAGTATTGCCCAAGTATTGTCCACTGCCACCCAGAGAGGACACTCACCAGGGGCCAGCTGCAAACCAGCCATCACCTTGGTGCCTGTCCCACCCTCCTCCAGGGACCTAATGAGCAGATTCGTAAGAGTGGGCAAAGAGTTGCATATTTTTGTGCATGAAATCATGCAAATAATACATTATTTTCATAAAATCAGAGCTAATTGAAGAAAAGGAAGTTATTTACTAACACAACTTACTTCCATGAGGCTGGCTAACTTGCTTAGGCCGCA